AGCAACCTGGACTACCTCACCGATCGCATGAACATCCTCGAGAAAGGCCTTCACAGCATCTCTGAGTCCCAGAAGAATTTGCACTCACGGCTGGATGGAGAAATCTCCACTGTCACCCTAGGGAACCTTTTTGAAGGGCGCTTTGAGGACCTGGAAGCCAGACTCAATGCTACAGAGAGAGAAACAGGGAGCTGCTGCTCCGGTATAGAGGACAGCATGAGAGGCACGGTGGTAGCAGAGGTGGATGGCATGAGGACTGCCTTTGAAGATAAAATGCAGACCCTGGAGGACAGGTTCATGACCATAGTGGGGGAGCTGAACAATGTCAGTTCTCCTGTGGGCATGGACGGAGCGGTGGTGCCCGTGCTGGAGGGGGAGCTCGCCAGCATGAGGAAACGGACGGATGAGACGCTGGAGGTGTTGCAGAATCGCCTCATCACGCTGGAGAGCACTTGTTCCCTGGGCTGCACCTCCGCCTCCAAAGATGTGGAGACCTTCCGGACAGAGATCGAAGACTGTCAGAACAAGAACCAGGACCTGCTCCTCCGGATGGACAGCAACTACGACCTCCTGCGCAAGCTGAACGCCACCATCCTGGAGATCCAGCGGCGAATCGAGGAGGAAGCATCGGGGGCTTTGCAAGGGGAGATCACCTTGCTAAAGATCAACCTGAACACCGTGAGCAAGTCTCTGACAGGGCTCAAGGACTCCGTCTCCCAGTACTCGGACACCGTGACTCACGTCAACTCCTCACTGGATGAGCACGAGCGGAAGATCGAGGATGAGGTCCACTCCATCCAGGAGAAGGTCAACGACCAAGGCTCCCAGCTCTTCTTCAGCAACCGGCGTGTCCTGAACCTCAAGGGAGACTTGGAGCGACTCAAAGCCAGGATCGTCAGCGACCTGAGCTCCTGCAAGAGCGTAGCCCGTGACCTGCAGCAGGAGATTGCTCACTTTGATGACCGGGTGGCCCGGGTGGAGAGCGTCTGCGGCAGGCTGGGTGCTGTCACGGGGAGCCTGGACGGCATCAGGGACGAACTGGAGAAACACACGGGCAGTCTGTGGGACTACATGGACCACATGAACGGGACCCTGGCTGCCCATTCTCAGGAAATAACGGGACTGAAGGACAACCTGCTTGACTGCCAAGCCAAGGTCTCCGAGCTGGCGGAGCAGGTCGGCCACTTGGAAGAGCAGGTGGAGGGGAAGCAGCATTAGCCACGCCGCCACGCGCTTCTTCCTCCTCCTCCCCGTGAAGGACGGGATTAACTTATATCACACAGACTCGCTCCAATGTGACAACAGTTCTTGGGATAATTTTTTTAATGAAAAGATAAATTAAAAGCTGCTACAAACCCTTTTTTTTTTTTTTAAATCTTGTCGGCCCCACTTTTCCATAACTCTGCCGTTACAGTACTCGCCTCCCGACACTCAGCAGCTGTCCCGACCCTGGTGCAGCAGGGTCACTGCCTCCTGGCCGGGGGCGTTGCTTTGGCTCCCGGGCTAACGACCCCAGAAGGACAACTCAGGAGGCAGCTGGAGGCAGGAACGTTGGTTTTTTTTTTTCATTTTATTTTTGTGGATTTATCGCTTCTTGAAGAATAAAACCCTGTAGTTGTCAGTTGAGGAATAGAGTTTCTCTGACCTAAAGACCACCTGCGTCTTAATCCAGGGACTGAGCAGAGCCAGGGCTCCTTACAGGGAACAAAACTCACCACAAGAATTGTGGATTTCAAAGAACACCCGTATTCGCACGTCCCCCTGGAAACTGCCTTCCCCTCTCCGAGACGGCAGCCCTCCTCGTGTACGGTAAATCCATTTATACTGCTCACTCCTTCATGCAAACGCACATGCCTTACGGAGCATATGAGGATATGCATTAGGAAAACACACATACGCATATATATATATGTGGTATGTGTATACGTATTTTTGAACAATCCACTGTCATGGTGCTCATCCGATTGCAAAGTTTCCTCTTGCTGCCCCCACGTCCCTTGCCGTGTTTTGAAGAACCACACCGAGCAGCTAAAAACCTCTGCAGCAGCACTTGGGGGAGGGCCCCGCGATCCCTCGGGGCTGCCGTGCTTTGCAATCCCACTTTGCTGTGCTCTCTGGTTAAACCTGGGACTGACGTGAAGGGTTATGGAAAACTTGTGTCTTCCCCAAAGAGACGTGTGTCCATAGGTCTCCGCAGAGACCAAGATGGGCATGGAGCAGTCCTGTCCTCCAGCTCTAGTTCTCTCCTGTTTTATTGCTTAAACTGTGAACGTGGTTTCCCTCATCTCGTCCCGGGGCAGGAGAGCTGCAGCTGCTCCAGGGTGCGAGCGTGAGGCTTTCCCTGTCTGGCAGCGCGGGAGCAGGAGCCTGCGTCCTCCTTGTGTTCTTCTGAGCCCACTGGGATGCCAACAGCCCCGGGGACATGCACCAACATGGAGCCCCAGGGAGGAGGGAGGCAGGGCACTTTTGAGAAGACCTCTCGAGACCTCACGAAAACTGAAGTGATTTACCCAAGGTCACTCTGGTTTCCCACGAACAGGCAGGCTGGAAAAGGTCGTACATGTTCCTGAGCAACTCCAGCCTTGCCCTTTGGAGCAGGTGCCTGGACTGTGCGGTGGTTGCACACAAACCCCACCTCTCCCAGGGAGCCCAGCACGGGTGTCCTCCGCTGCTCAGCCAACAGGGACTTCGTTACCAGAAAGGATGAAGAGGAAATTAAAGAGCCTCCATCTGACCAGCTCTGGCACTTTATAGCAGAGGAACATATTTTTCTATCAGCTCGGCGTTGCAGCTCATGGACCCTTCCACACCAGCTAGCCTTCAGCTCCCACCCGGTGCCCATCACCCTCACCAGGCTGCCCCTGCTCTTCTGCGCCACGATTCCCCCCCTGGTCCCCCCTGCCCCACAAAGGAGCAGCTCTGTGCTCCGACCAGCACAAAGCAGCAGCAACTCCCAGCAGAGATGCATCTGGGCGCCTTTTCTCCTCCATAAAAACTGGATGAGCTCCCTGAAACAGATGCTTCCAGGCTGGGGAGGACCACAGGGATCACCGAGTCCAGTGCACCGCGTCATGTTACCCTGATGCGTAAAAGCTCTTTCCCCTGCCAGAGGAGCGTGGGCCATCAGCTGTACGAGCAGGGAGAGGGGACCTGGCCTCCCACCACTCGCTTGCCCCCGGGGGCTCGCAGGCTGCTGGATGCTCACAGCACCAGAATCCACTCTTGCTCCTCTGGGCTTTGCTGATTTGGAGCTGCGCTGCAGCTGCTGAGACACTTGTCCAGCTGAGAAGCAACCTCCAGCTGCCTTTGGGCATCCTGCAAAACCTGCTCTTAGACAACAAAACCTATTTTTTTTTCCCCAGCCCAAGGAAGGAGTCTCAAGCTAACCCTTGGCATTTTGCAATGGGCCAGGGGAGCCCTCGCCCCACAGGAGCATCCTGCCCGAGCCCCCTCCCCATCCCCTCACAACAGGGAGAAAAAAGGCTGCAGCAACCAAAGAGAAAAACTAAGCCAAGGGCCAGGCTCACCCCTTCCCAGGCCAGGGCTGGGTTAGAAAGCAGCTGAACAGCAACAGCTTCCTCCAGCACAGAGGGAGCTAGGACTGGCCGTAACAAAACCAGGACAAGGAAGAAGTCTGACCTTCCAGAAAATGGTGCTATGTTTGGACTATTCCTGACTAGTCACTTGAAGATAGGGACAGTTTCTATTTCAGTTCTCAGCTATTCGTGTTTAAAAAGTGAAAGGAACTTTGTATAAAATAGGGCATTTTTTTTTTTTTTTTGCTTGCAGAGAGGGAAGGAGATGGTGCCCGCGTGCTTGTCCTTGCACAGGCAGCTTTCCAAGGCAGTTGATAACTGATCCTGTTAAAAGGCTGCGTTTTATTGTTTCTAAAACCTTGTACATTTGTTCAGATTTTAAAAGCAAAAAAAGTGTTTGTACTGGAAAGGAAAAAAATAAAGTATTTCTTGCTGAGGTTTCCAGGATCAAGATGACTTGTGTGGCTTTCAGAAAAGCAGAGCTAGAGTTAAAGCACAGAGGCAGGCACACTAGAAGGAGATGATTTACACTTGCACACAGTGGTCAGGGAAGGAGAAGCTGGATGGCAGACTGGAGCCCAGCAGTGCTCCCGCCTGTTTTATTTTATATAGTTACAGCCGAGAGCTCCCAGAGCAGGGGCACCAGGCTGCTGGCAACCAGGTTTCAGAGAAGTCCCCCACCCAGCGTGGGGACAGGCTGGTTGAGTCCCAGCCCAACCCTGCTTTAGGACAGCTGAGCTTTCCTTCAACGCTCCAATACAGGGGCACAGGAATAAGCTCCTGCCCTGGCACAAGACTGTGGCAGGCTGCCAGCATGGGAGAGATTCACCCCCACGCACACATACATAAAGCCAGGGTTTGCTTCCTGCATTAAATCAATTTCGCAACCCTTACCTGAAGGTAGGAGAAAAAAAATAATTGAAATAAAAGTCCTTTTTAGTGCAGCTGCTCCACAGGCTGAGGAAGCTGTAGGTCCTGCTCCCATCTCTACCAAGACCAGATGCCCTTGGCAGGGCCCTTCAGCAGGATAAACCCAACCACGTTTGTAAAAGGACATGAAGCCTGGCTCCCGCTTCCATGCACAGGGCTACAGTGGACAAGAGGCAGCCTGGATTAAGGATTTACTAGTTATTGCTATTTTTTACTAGTTATTGCTATTAGTGAAGAACACTCAAAACCCCAACAGCTTCCATCCACCTTAACGAGATGTTAAGCCACAGGACAGCTTCGCTCCACCAGCTACCAAACTGCAGGTAGCCAGACTGTCTGGGAACACTGGTCATACTGGAGGTAGAGATAGCTAAGCCAGGGGCTCATCAATAAATAAGACAGTGATCCACCACCACCTATAAAAAAGAGCCAGGCTTTAAAAGGTGTTAATAACATTAAGAAGAGACTTTACAGGAATTTTAGTTTAGTAAATGGAGTTTTTATAGAGTCAGAGCTCCCTCTCACACCCCCCCTTTGGCCCCCTGAAAAGGGGTGTTTCTAGTGCAGAACACAACCCATATTAGAAGTGCAAAATGCCTGAGCAGCAAACAGGGAGGAAGAGACGCATCTGGAGCATCCAGTCCTGGCAGAGGACACACAGGAGAGCCCTGGGTCAGGTCTCCACAGGTAATGGGGTCAGGAGAAGGCATCCAGATCAACAGCAGGCAGTGGAGGTCTCCAGTAGGCAAAGTGGCTGTACTCTGGACACACCAGAGCAAGGCTCCCACTCTGTCCCAGGGGAGGGAAGATAAGCTCCACTAGCTCCGACAGCCGCCCGTACCTATGGGGGTAAGAAAGAAGTTGCATTGGGGTCACTGAGGTTTTGTTTGCTTTTCCACCCCATGAGATGCTTCTCTGGGTTAAAGCCAGGTTAATCCAAAGGTGTTGAGGAACAAGCAGGTCGCTTACGTTGACTTGTGGTTCTTCGTGAGCTCCTGGATCAGCTCTCCCCTGGGGTTGACCGTGAATATGCGGCTCTCTGGCAGGCCCACTTGCTTGTAAGCGTAGACATCCTGCCCAAGGAAGGCCAGCAAGGCATGAGAGCTGCAGGAAGGCACCACCACCCCCCCAGCCTGAGCCCTCCCTCCTCCCCAGGAGACCCGCTCACATTGGCTCTGTTCCCAAAGGCCGCATAGAAGGGCAGCTTCGTGGCAAACAGGTTTTGGATGTCCATCAAGCAGGCAATCTTGAATACCTCTGGCTTCTTCTCAATCACCTCCCTGCAGCACAAGACACATGCAGAGAGCAGAGGTCAGAGTGACATCAGCTGGCCAGGGTTGTGGGCAGCCAGGCTGTCCAGGGCTCAAAGAAGTGATTTGAAGGGCAAGAGAGGTTTTGTGCATCAGGAGCTTCACCATGAAGATCCAGGGAGGACAGGCAGTTCCCCTGCTGCCTCCCATGAAAGGCATCCTTGCACCAAGGAGGCCAGAAGCAGTTTAAGGCTGCGACATCCCTCAGCGTCGAGCTGAGGGAAAGGGGGGTGCCATCCCCAGGGACACAGGAGGTGCAGGGCTGGGGAGGAGGAGAAGACGCAGTACCTGTGGAAGGCAGAGAAGAGGCTGCTGGGGGCAAGCAGGATGGGGCCCTTGGGGAGGGCACAGCCTTGCTCCTTGACCCATTTGAGGTAGCCTTTGGTGATGTGCGCCATGCCTATTGCTCTGGCTGAGCAATAGAGGAACTTGTAGCCGTTCCTAGAGAAAGCACAGGGAACCCCTCCGAGCTGTGCCCTGGACAAGGCATCCTCCTGCTCCTGTTCACCCCTTCAGCAAGCAAGGTGGCTTCACAAACAACGTCACTCACTTACCCAGGCACCCAGGCTAAAACCGATCCCCATCTGCCTCGCTGCTGGGGAGTGGCACTGGAGGGGGACCCCATACCACCCTCCAGGCCCTTCCCAGCAGCCGCATGCCCATCCTGGCTGCAAAGCACCCTTTGCTGCTTGGTACCCGTGCACCCAGACGGGACCCCCAGGCCAGCACCTTTATTGCACCAGGCTGCGTGTGGCTTGCAGGGAGCTGGACACAGCCCCTGCAGACCCTCAAGCAGCCCGCACGGCTGGATAGGCACCTCGGGCAGAGTGGGTATGGTGCTCTTGCGGAATCAGAGGTGGCAGGAGGCAGCCGAGGTGTCAGCGAGAGCAGCCCCAGCCTCGCAGCAGCGCACCCGCAGCCCCCCGGGGAGCGGGAGCCCCGTGTTCCCCCCCCCCCGGGGCCGGGACGAGCCATCCGCGAGCCCACAGTGCCTCTTAGTGGCCACAGGTGCCAGGGACGGAGCTGAAGGCCGGGCTCCGCGGGGACCCACTGCCAGACTCTGCTGGGTGCGGGGACAGCATCGCACCTCGGGGCGGGTCGGTCCCCTGGGGGCACGGGAAGCGGTAGCTGGACGCCCAGAGGGGCAACCGGCACCGATCCACGGGGCCGAGAGTGCCGGCTGGACCCCTGTGCCACTGCTGCGCAGCAACCCAAAAGGTATAGGTTGTGCCTGTGGCCTCTCAGGTGTAATCTTGTATGATCTCATCTCCTTCAGTGCTCAGCTACATCTCCCCAGCAAAGCCTCCACCGACACACGCTCCTCCCAGGGAGCGTAACACAAGCATCTGCTCCCAGGGGAGGCCCCCTGCTTTCACCCCCCAATGTCATCCAGACACCACAGCAAGCATCAGTCATCACTGACGGCAGAAAATTAGGCTATTTTGGCCAGCATCCGTAAGGAGCCCTGACTCTGGCTCCCACTCAGCCTCTCCTCCATCATCCTCCCACTTCCCCTTGGCCTCAGTTGATCCAATACCTACAGATGGATTTTGTGGAAGAGTTTAGCAATCCCACAATGAGTCCAGTCTTTTCCCAGATGTGGCAGGATGTGCCCAAGAGCATCTGACCTAGAAGGAGAGGAGACCAGGTTAGGCTGATCCAGCCTGGTGGGTATCCGGAAGATGACGTGGTTTGTGGTCCCTCCTAGCTGCTTACGCAAGCTTTGAAAGGACACTGTGCCCTAACAGGGGGGGAGCAGGGATGTGGGGTGGGAGAAAGGCCCTTTACTTGGTGATGGTGCCGTCAATGTCCGAGATCACCACCTTGTCATCCCAGTTCCACAGGTAGATGGTGGCCTCACAGCGGCATGTGCCCTGGTACTGAGTCGTCACGCTGAATGCCACCTCGTTGGGGCCATCCTGCAGATTCAGTCTTCCCTGCGGCAGAGGGGGAACAAAGGTGGTACACCAGCACTGATTCACACCAGTCCAAGGCTTGCCAGAGGCCAGACTGCCACCTGGCCAGACCAGAGACCCCAAGCCTCTACAGGGTGGCCACCCGGGGCAAAATACTCGGATGCCCTATAAAAACATTAGGTCAGGAATAGAGAAATCCCTGTTTAAAGGGTTGTCTCACACCTACACACACAAGCAGGCACTGAAGGAGGAGGAATAAGGTACATACGATTTGTTCGGAGGAGAGCCGCAAGGATTTCTTGTAGGTTGGCTGAGATTTCTGCGCAGGGGCATCCACTGCTAACACGTCCCTGGGGCGCAGGGGCTCATCGTCACTGGATGACACCTCCTCCTCCTGCCTATACAAGAAAGGGAAGAGCACCTTGGCTTTACTCTGCAGACCACGGCTTTCCCCATGAGCAGCAGGGGATATCTGGAGGGGACCCAGGACAACCCATCCACCAGGAAGCAGCCATGGAGGAGCTTGGCTGGATCGGGGTCAGCCAGAGCCTTAACAGAGCTTTCTGCCCTCATACATTAGGTAGACTTGGGAATAAATGGTCATTTAGGAGGAGAAGAGATCATGCATAGACTCCTAAAGGCAACCTGGGAGGGAGACACTCACCTCTGCCGAGCAGAGTCATGCTGCAGCATCCCCACGTTGGCTTTCCCCGGCCTCGACTGCTGCAGGCAGAGAGTGGCGTCATTAGCACCTCAGTGCCACGGGCAGGAGCAGGGGCTGCTTTGCTTTACTGCCACTCGGAGCAGCGATACCAGAAAAGAGGTGGCAATGCACCCCCCCGCCTTTATGATGACATTGGCCCATGGAAGAGGAACCATAACCTGGCGCTGTGGCGGGGCAGGGAGACCAGCAAGCACACGTGGTGCCTGGGCTGTGGCATGAGGGGCACAAGGTCCACTTTACTGCATTACCAGTTGTTGGTAATGTTGGTTAATGCTGCTCGGGCATCAACAGACCTGAGGAGACAGCAACAGCCTTCAGAAGTCAACTTGCCACCAGGTCCCTCTGGCCGCTCTCATACTCAGCGTCAGGCCATCCCCAGGACCCTGCTACTCTCCTATCCCCACCCCTGCCAGCCACCAGAATGACTCCTATGCCCTGGGGACACGGTTGTCACAGCCGCCATTGCAAACACCTCCTCCGCTGGGAATTCTCTCCTCCTCCAGGAGAACCACCACCTGCTGCCTTTCTTGGGCATCTTCTCCTTCACCAGTCGGTCAATAGTGCCCTGTGAACGTGGCAGAACATGAGATGAAGTCAGTCCTCAGCCCAGGGAGGCTCAGCTGCCAACAGGCTAAGGAGACCCTTGTCCAGGCAGGGTTTCCTTTGCAAAATTATTCACAGGATAAGATGCGCGACTCCTGCCACATTGTGAGCTGAGATGGTTTTGGGGTGCAGGGTACAGTGACTTGTTCCCTTCATGCAGCTTGGGAAAAAAAAATAAAAAAAAGATCTGGATGCCTTATTCCATACAATCCCAGCCGGGTCTACAGAGCCCTCGAGCAGGCTCATGCAGTCCCAAATCCTCCAGGCTGCCAGGGCCGCTAGCTCTGGGCCAGCCTTGCACTGATACAACCATCAGAGCAGGAGATTTTTTGACAAGGAAATCTCTCTCTCCAAGCATCAACGGTACGCAGGTATCTAAAAGCCACCCTGAGGTACCTCTGGGGGAAAGGACAGACCTCAGAGTTTGCGGGCTGGAATGATGTTCAGCTCTGCCCCAGACTGCCCACAAAGCCCCAGATGGGCAGCTTGGCCTCTTGCAGCTCCACTGTGCTCTTCAAGCCCTGCTGAGAAGCATGGCCAGTAAATGCGTTGTGCCACTGACCTCAGGAATGTTCCTCTGGAAAGCCTGCAGAGACAGGACCATGGGAGCAGCCACTGCCCAGTTGTAATACCTGGAAGAAGCAAGAGGGATGGGAACATCACCACTCCTGGAGCGAGGGCTGTTTCCAGATCACCATCCTGCAGCATGGCCAGAAGGTCCCCTCCCACAACTACTGCAGTATAATCATTGTCTGGGATGGACTCATACTCCTACAGGAGTGTTTCTGTAGGGACAAAGGGGCCACACTGGTCATCTTGGGATGAAGCAGCAGGAAGAGCAGGCCACTCACTTCTTGTTGATCAGTATCACCAGGTTTGGGTCATCGATGAGTCCTGGATTCTCGGCAAACTGCTGGTAGGAGACCATGTGCTCCATGAACTTCTCTGGTGGGACAGAGGCTGTGTCATGCCACTGGTGTATATAATGGATTTCAGGACAGCAGATTCCCTCTTCCCTCCCACCTACCGCAAGAGATCTGCCTGCTGCCCCCCAGGCCTCCGCACAGCGACAGGGCAATCGTGGGCATCGAATCAGAGTCGGAGTCCATGGGGCTGTCGGCAGGCAAGTCGGATGGCAGCTGGACACACAAAGAATTGCTGAGGTCTGCCACAGGCTTTGAACTCTGCTCTGTGTCACTACCAGCAAGAGAAGAAACAGTGGCAGCATCAGGCAATAGCTTTAGACATACCTCCATCCTTTGCTGTAAGGGAATTGCTCAAGAAGGTCTGAGCTTGGCCAGCTGGGGCAACCCATACCTCCTGGGGAAATAGAGAGCCACCTGCTCCTCATCCAGGTTGGAGAGGTCTTCCAGGTAAACATCACTGGGACCCAAGTGAGGACTTCTTTTGGTGGATCCTCAATGCACAGACAGAAGGGAGAGAGCTTAGCTGAATCACCTTTTCCAACCATCTCAGTATCTATCGAGAAAGCTAACAGCGTTTTCCTCTATCATATTTGTACATCATATAAAGAGGGCATCTATTTTCCTACTTGAAAAGCTGCCTTAAACCAACAGCAACAGAAGTACCTCAAGACACCTGCACTGGCATGAGACCGCTTGCTAAGAGGACACAAAGGACAGGCCAGAGTCCTGACTATGTTCTATGACAATCTGAAGGTGCTATTTGAAGTTAGCGCCATGCAAGATAACACTTTGTGACCTCCCTCTTTGTACAATGAGGAATCCCAAGTGTCTCTTCTTCAGGAAGACCATTTTGTTCCAAATTTATGCCGGCTGGAAGAGTAAGATTTGTGTTATTACCTGTCCTAACCAAAGTCCTTAAGTACACTGTCAAGGGAGACAGATATATGCTGCTTCTCTGTGTGATTTTCCACCTGAGTTGGCATGCTCAGCATGAAGACATAAATCAGGCCAGGTGCTGCCAGACACTTCAAGTGAAGGTATGGTCTACACTGCTGAGAAATCTTCTAAGCATGCAAAAGCAGAGGCATCCAAGGATGGACTTCAGGAAATGTAAGGCAAGAAAGCCTTCCTGGGGATCTGGGTGGTCACTGAAAGGAGGAAACCTGAGGAATGTCTCTTCAAAGCAAAGGAGCTGGTAGCACACGGAGAGGGCAAAGCAAATATGTCACACCTTGAATACCCATGACAGTCATGAAGGAGTTACACTGAATGAACAACCCAGCCCCCCACCCAAGTCAGATACATCTGCAGGCCCAAACACCGCTTCCAGCAGCGCCAGTCACCCACTCACCTTGTCTCCTCTGGCTTTCCAGCTGGGGCTCAGGGCCCTCCGAGCCCACCTGCCTCAGAGCAGCGGCTCCCTCAGAGGGCTCCACATCTGGCTGAACCTCTGGCACAACATTCTCACCCCCATCCTGTTTCTCTTGTGGGGCTGAGGAGGCCTCCAACAAGCTCTCTGCCCCCACAGCCCTGGGGACGTCCTTCAGCCTGGGGAGGCCGTTCCCATCGTGGGAACAAGGTGCACCCTGATGTCCCACTGGGCCTGGACCTTCTTCCAGACCTTCAGAGGTGGCAACAAGATGGGTTGCCTCATCCACTGGGATTGGTGTCACAGAGACAGTAGTTGCTGCAGTAGCGAAGGTCTTTGTGGACTTGACTGGTTCAACTCGTTCCGATTTATTCACCTCAAAGAGAGCAGAAGAACAGGTTTGAGGATGGGAAATTGCCCAAAGCATCAGGCAGAAGAGGACAACTCCTCTAAGGCTGCCTGGCCACAGCCTCCTCCAGTTTAGCAGCTGGTGGGAAGGGGGTGTCTGAAAGGCCTGCAGAGAGAAGAGCAAGAGCAGGGACTCACCTGAGGGAGCCTTCCCCAGGTCCACTGCACATGGGATTCAGCCCCTAGAGCAAAACCCTCCTGTGATCTGATCTCCAGCTCAGAATCACTTTTGGGAGAAGATGGATGGTTCATGGTGGGGCTACAAGAAAAGAAGGGAATGTGGGACCTCATCTACCCTACAGCCCCATGCTTTTCTATCACTGCAAGGACATTTAGGGCCAAGAACACTGTAGGGTTGGTTTCCCATAGGGTCAGTTCTGCCCCATAAGACTATCACTTACTATGGGAAGCTGGGGTCCAAGGAAGCAAAGTCCTATGCCACCAGCTGTCCAGAAGCAGCTCAGCAGCAGAGGCAGGAGAGCCCTGTGCACGCAGGCTTCTTGCATCTGTGACCATGGCCAGAAGTGTCCCTCATTGGCTCCAAGCTTTCCTCCAGCCACACCATATCAAGCCAGGAAAACCTGCTCTCCTGACATCCCCAAATCCCTTTTCCTTACCACCTTCCCAGCCACAAGGCACATCCCCTGCTCTCACTAAAGCCCAGCCTTGGCTCTGCCCGTTACCTGTCCACAGAGGCCAGCTCCCCGTCAGAGTAAGGGTGCACCTCTGGGGACTGCAATGACCCGGTTTCTTCTCGGGGGAGATCAGTGAAGGAGAAATACACTGAATCACTGCAAAGGAGGAAAGAGGTCAGTTATGATACTCTCGGGCACCAGCCTCCTCTCCTGGAAAGCTGGCAATACCAAACTTGACCATTTCCACGGGCTTTCTACTCCACAGGAGGCTGGAGTCCAACTCGAAACACTATCCCCATGTTTCAGTACTGCTGGGCATCACCGAGCAAACCTACAGGCTCGACCCACCCACCGTATCACCCTGCCCAGGCCAAGCCACTCACCTGGGGGCTGGCAGCTTGCATGGCTCCTCCGCGGACATCTTGCTTTTGGTCTCCTTGCAGCCTTCCAACTCAGAGTCCAACACCTCCTTCCGCTTGGGCTTCCTCCTGCGCCGTCTCCTCTTGCGCAGGGTCCCTTCAGCACTGGAGGCCTCCTGCCCATGAGAGGACTGAGCGGCATCCTCTGGGCTCTCCGCCCTGGGGATGGGGGACGTGCAGAGGCGGGAGGGGATGCTGCCCTGCAACAGGGATGGAAGAGCCCATCAGCTCCAGCCCCCTCTTTTCCAGCCTGGCAGCTTATGGCTCTTGTCTGTGCAACATACGCCACCAGCACAACCAACACCGAGCCCTCAGCTTGGGGGTGGTTTTGTGGCTAGGCCCAAAAGGAAAGATTTTGTACATGCAACACGTGAGTAAAGAAAAAAACCATCCAAAACCAGGGTTATCCAGCCACAAGCTAAAGACATCTTTAACGTGGGCAAGGAGAGGCGGGCAGGAGATGGCACCACAAGACCAGAATTACAAAGGCTGCAAAATGGGATTCGGCTCTAGAGCCCTCTCCCTGCTCTCAAACCCAGCCCAAGCTAGCAGCAACCACAAGTCAGCCCGGGTGAGAGCTGCCAAGATTTCTGGAAGCCACAACTAGTCTCATCCCGCTTCCCAGTAGAGCGGGCAGCCTGCCACAGCATCTGGCTCACTCTCATCCTCGTCACAAGATCCCCCAAGAGGCCAAGCTCCAAGATATCTGCCTGGCTGGCCAGCAGCCATGCCCAGAGAGGAAGGACAGCCTGGTGCAGATGTTTGGTCTAATGCTTCCACAGGGCGCTCCACTGCCCAGATCCTCCACACTGGTTACAAGGTCCTTTGAGTAGGAACCTTTCCGGACACACAAAACATCAGAGGGAATAACGGAGTCACCCTGGGGAAGAAGAGCTGTCCAAACCTGGTCCTTTCACCTCAAGTCTGCACTTCCAGGTGGTCACAGCAGGACACAGACCAGCAGCACCTCTTCATCACCAACCTCATTTTCCTCTGTCTCCTGGACGAAGAAGGCCTCTCCATTGTCACCCAGCTTCATGTGCAGGTCCACAGGCTCCCCATTGATTTCAATGTCAACCTGGCAAGGGGCAGAAGAAGCCTGTCCATCTGAACCCACTCACCCGTCAGCGTACAGGAAGGCACTTCCCCAGGGAGGGGACGGCTTGGGGTTGCTCGCAGGGCTGACAGCCACCCAGCCTTTGAGGCAAGGGACCTCTCCCAGTTTTCCTGGGAAGCACAGTCCTCCCTGGAAGAGGATGGGTTCCATTTGGGGCATCCCCTCCAAAAATTGGCAAGCACCCCTTTCAGCAGGTGGGGTTATGGAAGATTTTAGGTCTGGAGACACCAGAGAGGAAGCACAGTCCCAGGGCAGGCACCACTTACCACCTTCTCCTTGGAGCGCAGCACACCCAGCTTCCCAAAACGCACGTGAAACGGGGAGCACTGGAAGGAGTTATCGGGCTGCCTCACCACAACCACATCGATGCAGCCTGTCAGGGTGGCAGGGTTCAGACCCCGGTACAGCTCCTTCACCGTGACGAAGACGGTCTCAGCAAGCTGCCCCACGTAGTTCATTGTTTGAGACTGCAAGTGAGAGACAGGAATAGACTCAGGTGGGGAAAAAGGGCTCCAGCAGCTAAATGCTGTGTGAGTTTACTCTAGGAGAGTCATTTCACAGCTGCAAACACAGCCCCATCATGGGGACAAGTAAGCCTCTAGGGAAACTGAGGCAAACACGTGAAGGGCCTTGATGGAGATCAGCCAGGGCCTCTGTGAGCACCAGAAAACAGGACAGAAGTCAGAGCACTCATTATTGCATCCAGCTTGGAGGAGAGAGACCTTTGCCATTGGGATGCACCATCACATCTGTCCCTTGGGAGGACAAATACTACCTCACAGCAACACTTCGCAATCACGCTGTCAACATCCTGTTCAAACAAGAATTTGGTTGGCAGGAGACCTCCTGCCCTGCACTGTCCTTAAAAAACTCAGGGCAGAGAGGTGGGAAGCCCAAGGAGCTGCTGCATACAGCACATGCTCACTTTGAACAAAGTCCAAACCTAACGTTTCCCACTTGGAGGGGAAGGCATCCCACCTAGGCATTGCCGAATCGGCCAGACACAGCCCTTGTTAAGCCAGAACTCCCTGGTCTCCATGCCTTGGCCGCTGCCGTCATCATCCACCTTCCCAGGGAATCCCAGCAAAGGGGCCACGCTGCCCGGAGGACACCTGGACAGCTCTGCAATGCCATTTTCACAAGGCACTGCTGCACTCCGAGGTTGCACGGCTCCTGGTTTTCATTAGCAAGAACACGTGGAAGGAAAGCCTTGCCTGCTTCCTGCTCACCCCCTTGCCTGCTCACATCCTCCAGCTGCTCGCTCCCCAAGTAGAAACAATTCCCCTCCACCGTGCTGGAGGAGAGGCATAGATGCAAAGCAGGAGATTCACGTGATCCATGCTGGGGCTCACAGCGCAGCCATGCCTCCAGCCACACAAGGTGGCACACAGGCTCCAAACCGCTCTCATGCGGCCCCCCCTTCCTGCAGGCCACCACTGGCAGCTGCCTCCTGGTCAACACATTGAAATCCCTGGAGTATTTTCTTGCAGATCTATGTCAGGGTGCTGGGTGTTGGTCCCAGCCCCTGGCCCAGAGGAGCCCCTTGCTCCGTTTGCTCAGCACTCGGCATCAGCAGGACAACAGTCTTGGTGTCAGTGCATCACACCAGAGGCTGAGGACCACAGAGGCTGAGCCCAGCTTCCCAAGCTGCCAGCTCTGCATCCCACCTCGCCCCAAGGAGAGGATGAGGGCACAGGATGACCACTTCAGAAGGACCACGGATGAACTAAAGGAAACCTCTTGTGCCAGCAGCATAATCAGCTGATGGCATGGTGTCCCCAGGGGCTCTCAGCGCAGCCCACAGCCAACCCAAGGGGCAGCTGGTGAGAGTTGGTTCCTTACCCAAAGGAATGAGGACAAGCAGGTGCCACCCGACAAGCCCTCTGCCCCAGCAGGCACCCAGCCTCTCCAATCTGTTTTGCATAAGCTCAGCCCCGTCCTGTCCCCAGACATCGCTTTGGGAAGGCGGTCTGCATGGGGAGACACAGTCCCCGCTCCATGTCCCGTCCCCCCTGCCTCTCCCTGACAGCCAGAAATAAGCCCAAAGCCTGGATCCTCCCCGGGGGGGGATGACAGCAGGGAAGCGCTAGCTGGCTCCCGAAGCTTCGGTGCCTCCATCAGCTCTGCTGCGAGCAGGGCCAGGGTCATGGGGCCACCCACCAACCTGCTGAGCCCAGCTTTCCCGGGCAGCCCTCCAGCTGCCTTCCCCGTTGCGCTGCAGGGCCTAGCAGCAAACAGGAGAGCGCTCCTCATGGCAGGGGGGCATTTTCAGAGAGGAGGAACAATTGGGCTGGCCCCGATGCTCCCAGGGCAGCGCTGATGGGCTCCTGGCTGGGATATACGTTGAGACAGACCTGAAAAGCACATAGGAAAAATCCTGGGCAGATAAACCTGCATGGCCTGTGGCGTTTGGGATGGGGGCTTGGAAAGACTCCCCAGGAACAGCCCCACATTGAGCAGCACCTTCACAATGAACACAGGGTGCAAGGGCTTAACACAGCGCTGCAGCCACCCAGCAAAACATGCTGCTGAGCACCTCGTGCCAGGGCCACATCCCCTCTGCAAAGCCAGCGGTTCCCCCCCCCCCCCCAAGCCCATCTGCCTGACATTGCTGGGCACCCGGCTCAGCCCCAGGGCTCAGGGCAGTGGGAAGAGGAGGTACAGTTTTCAGCTCAGTGCTCAGTTCATGCCCCTTTGCCTCAATTGCACGGCTGCCCCCTCCCCAGGCATCTGCCTGCACATTGCTGGGCACCCGGCTCAGCCCCAGGGCTCAGGGCAGTGGGAAGAGGAGGGCTCTGGTACAGTTTTCAGCTCAGTGAGTTTGACTCCCTGTGGATTTCACCCAGGACAACTAGAGACAGGCAGGGACCAGAGAGAAGAGGCTCAGACTTCTCACAGCTCTCAACCCCACCATGGATGGAGCAGGTCCATTAGGGAGATGAAGAATAAGTTACCCTCTAGAGAGAGATTAGTAGGCGGACAGGGCAGGAGAAAGGGTTTTCAAGCCACCCCAAGGACACCAAGCCACATTCCACAAATAAACCCTACAGAGGAACGGGGCATTCCCACACCTCAACCCCAGAAACAGCGGGATCACAGCCCTTCACCACACAGCTCTTGCAGAGGGCGAAGGGGGCAATCCTCCCCCATGGAGGCAACACAGCTCGCATTCACCTCTCCAGCTAAAAAGCCTCCCAAAATAAGCCAGATATTTTCCTAACAGCAGCCTGCTCTGCTCTTAGGTGGCAGCAAGCTGGGCCACCCCCCGAGCAGCACACCCTTCCCACCCTGCACATCCACGCTCCCCGTCCACCACACGCTGCAAACTGCCCAGAACCTTCCCCATTACCTGGGCAGCTGCTGAACCTCAGCACCTCCTCAACTTTGGGGCAACCAGCCCAGAAACCCCAGAAGCTGCTCTCTGCCAGCAGTAACGCCCGCTCACCCTCAGCTCCTCCTCTCCCTACCGCTTCCTTCCTCTCACCTGAGCAAGGGGAGGGCCCTGTCTCCCATCCAGCACCCAGTCCCAGCACCGTGCCTCCAGCTGAGCCTATGAGGGCTCCTGGGAGGCCGGAGGGTGGATCTGGGGAGGCCGCTGACACCTGCACGGAGCAGCTGTGTCTCATTGCAACCAGCTTGTTTGTTCCAGCAGTTCCGGGCAGAGCTGCCTTGCACTGCTGGCGACCCTTCCTCCCTCCTTCTCCAACCCAGCATCCCGCAAGGCCACTGCAGCCTGACCCACCAGGCTGGAATTTCCAAAGACAGTCCTTCTTTCATTTTCCAGACCAGATCTCCCAGCGTTTAACCCCTCAGGGCACAAACTATACAAAGCCCCAGCTCTCAGGACCCCAGGGGAGACTGAGCCCTCTGAAAAGGTGCTCGCAGAGGCCGAGTGCGCAGCTCTGGGAAAGATCTGCCCTTTAAAAGCTGCCTTGCAATGGCTGGAGAGCATCCTCACGTAGCCATGGCTGGGCTGAGGACAGTCCAGAGTGGGAAGTATCTCGCTAGGGAGCCTGTGCCAGATCCTGGTTTCTCCCTCCTCCATAGGGCTATAGGGATGGCTATAGGGTCATATGGACTAGGATCATGAAGGGTGGATAGGGTGATAATTGCTGGGTTGCTCACTTAATTGCTCCTGGATGTAAGATTGGGTGCACCTTGGTCAGGTTCAGACTGGGAGGAATGTGGAAGGTGCTAGTGTGTGGTGCTTGTAGGGAGGAATGAGGCTTCACCAGAACCCAAGGCTTTGGGGGATTTTGAGGGATAATTTTAGCTGCTCCGCAATAACTGCAAACTTTGGAAGAGTGAATTTGGGTGAGTTTATTTCATTGTGCAACTCAGGACTAGGACCAGACTGGGACACCAGGACCTTTTGCACAAACCAGCCCGTGCCCCTGGGCAAGCAGGGGAAGGCAGTGTTTCCTACCGGGGCAGCGCCGGCCGGGACACACTGACCTCCTGCAAAATCCTCTGAGGCTGCTGCAGTGCCCTGCCGTACGCCGCAGGGAGCCTGGCCTGCTTGCTGCACCCACCCTCAGCACCCCTGGGGGCTCCACAGACCTGTCCCCCCAGGGTGGCAGCTTTCCCTCCCCTTCTCCCAGCCTCCTGCCCTTCCCCTGCACCCCAAAGTCCCAGGGTGCGGGTACCCTGCACCCCGGCAGCCCCTGCCCGTGGCTGTTTCACCTCTCCACCTCCATCATTGTGGCTTTCTGCTTTTTGGGGGGGGTTTTTTGCCTTTTTTTTTTTTCCCCTCCGGGCCTTAGGAAAGCTTTGGGACAAAAAGAAGCACCAAGTATCATTTTACAGAGGCACCACCAAATGCCACAGTGAAGTCTTAACAAGACATAAAGGGAAGGATTGGGTGGCCAAGCCCCAGGGGCTCCTCTGCCCTGCGTTATCTCCAGTGGGACGAGAAAAGAGAGCACGAGTTGAAAGAAAAGCACAAAAAAGCAGAGGCTTTAAGAAAACTGAGGCTCTCCAGATCTCAATGGGCCTGACAGCGGTGGGGAAGCAATGCAGGAATAGCCAGGCGGACTCAGGTGAGAAACTGAGGCGGTGGGGGTTTTTGTGCCCCCAAAAAAGTGCATTGGCTCCCACCGGACTACGACGCCCCAAGGGCAGGAATGTCGCTGCTGTGGGCTCTGCCCCACGACCGCCCGACCCACTGCGAAGGTGATTCCCCAGCACCCTCTGTGCCGAGTTTTGGAGTGACGCGGATTGAGTGGCTGCGGCTCCTGGTCTGCACAAAAGCTGGTGGCAGTTTGGGGACAAAGGCTCTTCTGCTGGTGTCCGTGCAGGGCTCTCCCACCCATCGCTCGTGGAGGTGACGTTGCTCTGTGAGAGCGGGGAAGCGTCAAAGCTGGAAGGTGGTTGCTTAGCACCTTTTCAGTCCCCGAGGAGAAGGGTCCAAACCACCCAGGTTGGTCACAGCTGATGGGTTGATCTGGAGAAATGCCACAGCTCATTCCCAGGTGTCACCTCCCTGTGC